CCCACAACCCGACAGCAATCCATTTCGGTTGTGATTTCTGGAGATATATTATTGTTTACATGTCAAGCTGCGAAAGGAAGCAGAGAGCAAGAAAGCCCCCCTTGAGGGGGGTTTGGGGGGTGAACCCTAAACCCTAATTGAGAATAGTTGGGGTGGTTGGGGCGGGACTACATGCTGACGCAAGCGCGCGATTAGTGGGTGCGCCCCCTATTCCTAAAGTAAAAGGCGCACCCACCGCGCGCATACTGTTACAAACCCTAAACCCTAAACCCTAAACCCTAAACCCTAAATCCTAAATCCTAAACCGAACCTCAAGGCTACCACTGAGCTCATCAAAGCCGTGAGCAACTGGAGGCAACTACAGTAGAAGCCAGAAAGTTGGAATATCATTATCGTAACCCCTTTAAGGTAAATTATAGGGTATCCTACCCTGAAACTATATTCCAACTTTCTGGAGTTCCCTTTAAAGCCATGCGTTTCCAGAACTGAGCGGCCCTTTTCCCATACTTTGAATACTTTTTCTTGGTACCTGTTCCTTCAAAGGAGCCATGATGAAATAAAAGCCTATTTTTTCTCCCTGGTTACTTCAAACAAAATCCAGGTTTCTGTAAAGGCTGAATAGTGGGAATAAGGGTACCCGTATGATTAAGGGGCTACGCAGGAACCTAGTGAATCCGGGAGGGCTGCGCAGCTTCGAGGCGCCGTTGAGGACAAGAGCAGCCATGGTGCTGCTGCTTCTGCTGATGGTGATGATGATGCTGCTGCTGCTTTGGTAGGGATGGTGACGGTGATGATGATGATGGTGATGATGATGAATGCTGCGATGCTATGATGCGAGAGGTGATGACTTATAAACCTCTTCGAGTCTTAGTACGAAAATCAAGATCTAGAATCTAGAAGAGCTATTCAAAAGATCACGGCAGCGAGACCAAACGAGCTGCAGACTATTGCGAGATGCTGGCGGTGGCTGTGAGGGTGTGGCTGCTGCCGCTGCTGCTGCTGATGAGGGTGGTGACTGTCATGAGCTACCATGAAGGGATCGCCAAGTCGTGGGTACCAAGGCATCGGCGATTGATGAAAGACCCCATGGACAAGTTCAAGGCTTCCAGGGAGAGCTTGGCTTGTTGAGTTTTGGGGTCAGGGGTCGAGTCGCTCGTATGATGAGTTTGGCTCGCAAGTCATAGTCCTGCAAAGTCTCAGATGCTTGCGACCAAGACACCCAGCATTCCGTCGAGTGTCGGTGTCCAGAGACTCCAATATACCTTAAGTAAGGAATATACCTTAACTCATATAATGGATCCTACTATAATTTAAGGTACATTCCTTAATTAAAGGATATTGGAGTCTTTGGGTGGGGTTTACATGTTTTTCAGCGCAAAAAGCCGTTGAAGCAAGACTCCGAGCAGAGCTTTGCACCTTGTCAAGGCGGATCGGCCACCTACCCTAAGCCTAGGGTTTAGGGTTTAGTGTTTAGGGTTTAGGGTTTAGGGTTTAGGGTTTTGGGTTCAGGGTTTAGGGTTTAGGGTTTTGGGTTTAGGGTTTAGGGTTTAGGGTTTTGGGTTTAGGGTTTAGGGTTTAGGGTTTGGATCCATAAGGGGGGGTTCCTTTAAAGGGTTCCTTTAAGGGGTTTAGGGTTTTGAGGGGTTCCCTAAGCGCTAAACCCCAAAACCTTCAAACCCTAAACCCCAAGCCGTAACCCCAAGCCCCAAGCCCCAAACCCCAAGCCCCAAGCCCTAAACCTAATCCCTGAAACCCAAAGGCCCTAAATGTAGATCCTTTGAGGAGCCCTTTAAGGAGCGCTTTAAAGGAACCCCTAGAACCCTAAAGCCCTAAACTCGTTTCAGCCACTGCTGCGACGAGGCTCCCATGACCGAGGCCATGTCCATTGGCTGGCACGAAGAGGAGGCGGCTTTTATCATGAGGGGTTTATGGGGATTTGTAGGAAGTTTTGAGGTGTTTGTAGGGGCTTATAAGGATATTTAGGGATTTGTAGACATTTGACAAGTGACTTATAGGGTTTTTTGAGGGGTTTGCAGGGATTTGTGGGGATTTATAGGGGTGTATGGGGGATCTACGAGGGGTTTGCGAGGGGTTTGCAGGGATTTACTAGAGTTTATAGGGATTTGCAGGGACTTAGAGGGTATTTATAAAGATTTATAGAGATTTATTGTGATTTGTAGGGATTCATTTGGATTTTAAAGGAATTACAAGCTTAATCTTCGATTAAACCGTAAACCGAAGCAGACTCGAACCGTGGCTCCTGAACCAGAGAGCCCAAGACCCCTTAATGAAGCAATATACCCTACAACGATAATATTAACCCCCCACAAATTGAGGCATCTTCCACGTATTGCGCTCTCTGGGAATGCCGGGGTCGGAAGAACAGTGTAATCTTATTCTGATGGGTTCCTCATTCGACTATAATGTGAACAGCAAAAAATGCCATTCTACGGAGCTGGGTTCCTTTAACTTACCTTTTAATAAGACTATTTGAAGGGTTCTGCAAGGGTTTCAGGGTTCAGGGTTTAGGGTTCAGTGTTTAGAAATGTGAGGTTGGCCAAGTAGGAGTTCAGCTACGAGGTTTTCAAGTTTGCAGATCTCGGGCTCAAGGTGTCGGATCCGGATTTAGGATTTCTGCTGTTTTGGGCAGTGGCTCGTTCTACCGCCGCTGTGCGTAAAGGGATCCCAGGAAAGAGCATATGGGTAGTTCTCTAGATTCGGGCTTCCTTTTAGGGTCCGTTTTTTCAGGGTGCCGACCTAAAAAGGGACCCTATAATTCAGCGAACTATCCGTATTGGGGCTTGAGTAATTAGTACTCCTTCGGGATTCTTACTCTAGTTATACGATAACATACCGCAAACTTCTAATTCTTCAGGCCCATATATCAGAGTCATACTTCCCGGTGAAGGCGCTCAGTTAGGACTTGCAGGGGTTGTGAGTCTAAGGTCTTCAGAGTAAGGAAAGCTATACTTCTCAATACAGCTCCTTCTAACTCTAATATCAGTCCCCTCATGTGAGTCAGCATTATGGCTACCCTGCTTATTTCTGCACTTTTAACTACTTCCAGTAACCGTCGAGATTAAGACTTGGTACTCCTGTGTAAAGTCTTTTCTTTGGGCTCTGCGCTTGGTTTCGGGTTTAGGCTTGGGTGTTTCGGGATTTGGTTTTTTTCAGCACTCAGGGTGTTTGGGGCTCAGGCTTAGGGCGGTGCTTGCAGGTTCAGGTTCCTGGCTACTTACGAGTAGGGTGTAGTTCTCTGTGCAGTGCTTTGTAGGGCAAGCTGCTGTCGGGGTCTATTTGGTTGATCGGACTGATAAGCACATGGCCGCTTGCCCACGAACCTTCACATACAGTTGCTCCGAATCTCACTGGCAGGTCTTCAACGAGCGATTCCCGAAACAGTCCTGTTCCGAAACGAGGCGAGTAGTTGAGATGTGGGGACCATCACATGCTTGGTTGCACAGCGGCTGAATGTGGTAGTCCTGCGTTCGTGCACGACATGCCTAGTTACTTCTCTGAGTGTTTTGTGGGCGAGAAGTTGGTGCATTCTCGAAAGACTACGGGATCCAAATTGTAAGAGTTTGGGAGTTTACACTCTCAACATGCTGCTGTTTGTGGTGGCTGATGCTGCTGATCGCAGTCTGCATTTAGCTAATTGAAGGGTGTTTTTACTCAGCAGGCGGGTATCCGGAATAGTGGCAAGGGCAAATTATACCTCGAGCTCACGTCTCTGGGTCTCAGTGCTTCTAGATGGCCATGCCCGGTATTACAGGAAGGGTGACATGTTGACCTTTTGGAGCACAGGTACGCCGATGAAATGGTGAAGTGCAAACTCGACCCCTTCTGAATTCGTGGACCCGTGTCTCACCCCAGGTGCGCTTTTCACCTGGCTTGTTCTCACCCTGAGGTCGATCTGCACGATAAGAAGCATGTATGCAAGATGCGATCTCATACAGCTAAGCCCATCTGTGGAAGCTGCAGCCCAGGCCATGCATTCTAAATCTCAACCCCAAAGCTCTTAGGCCCAAGCCTCACGCCACGCTTCCCAAGCTATGTTGCTTATCTTTTGTCGTAGCACTTTCCTCCTGAACCCGAGGCGGTAAACGATGGAACCTCATGTCTCTCATGTGGGTGACGGAACAAAGCGTCGCCGCAAGGAAGAGGACCTTGAGCATGCTTGCAGCTTTTACTATTTAGTCTTATGGCTGTAAAACAGTGGTAGTAGTTGCTATGACTGTTTTGCTGCTGCTGCTGCTGTTGCTGCTGTTGTCTTGACTTTGTTTGTTGCTGTTCGGCTGCGCGCTGTTAGATTCATGTTGTTGTTGGTGCGACTATCATGATACCATTTCGTTGGCCGTTGATGGCGGTGACGGCGGCCAGGACATGGTGATGAGGGTGTTGGTGATGATGGTGACTGATGATCGTGTAGCTGATGTTGTGTATAATCCTACAGCTGCTGCCGCCGCTGCTGCGGCCGCTGCTACTGCTGAGGATGATACCACTGGTGATGACGACGGTCGTGAAGAAGACGATGTTGTTGTGGATGGTGGTGGTGATCCTGGTGACCGTGCTGATGCAGCTGATGATGGAGCTGAGGATGGAGCTGATGTGTCAGCAATGATGATCACCGCGAGGATGCACTTATCAAGAATGTATTCATGTTGTTGTGGTGTCGTTGTAGAGTATGACGGTAGTCATGTCGGTCAAGGCCATGGTGTGAAGTCAGCAGTGATGATGTTGAAGATGCTGACGAACATTGTGATGGTATGTCAATGACGGTGACCGTTGTTGCTGTTGAAGCGAAGAGGCGGACAGACACAGAGTGATCCAAGCTAGTGCATTGACGTTCATTTTCTCATAGCATGCACCACTTAAGTTGCAGCGTATAGACACCAGCCACTGCATGCGCTCGTGCAGTCTTCAGGTGAATCATCCGGGCAGTTGTTGGCCCCAGGGTGGTAGAGCGACGATCCGCTACTTCCGTTGACTTCGCTGCTGACATGGCCAAAGCCCCGCGTTCCGCTTTGCTCTTGCTCCTCGCATCCCTGGCCCTCCTGCGGTGGACGGCGCCTTCCTTCACGGGGACCCGTTCGCCGAAGGTCGCGTTGAAGAGTGCGTTGCAGCAGAAGCTCAAGGCCTTCGGTAGGCAGAAGCCAGGGCGGATTTCGGCAAGACGTTTCCAGTAAGTATGGTACCATGCACTTGGAGGTTCATGGGTAGGTATAAGGATTCCTTTAGGGGTCCCTTTAAAGGGGTATAGGGTTTAGGGCCTACTTGGAGGTTCATGGGTCGGTATAAGCGGGGTTATAAGCACCCTAATATGAGTTAGAGGTATGCTTACCCTACTTATAACCCCACTTATAACTACCCATGAACCTCCAAGCAAGATACCCCAAAGCTGTTCTAATCATTCCGGCCCCAAGATCAGGATTGAGCAGCTCCGATCTCGAAAGCGTTTGCTAGGTTAGGAGGGTCTAGGTGGTGTTATAAGTATGACGGTAGCCAACTAAGCTAAACATATAACTACGTATTTGGACTTATAACCCCACGTACAACTACCCATGAACCCCCAAGTAGACCCTCCACCCTTCAACCCTTAAACCTTAAACTTATACTGTAACTACCCATGAACCTGCAAGCAGACCCTAAACCCTAAACCCCTACACCCCAAGCTTACTTTATGACTACCCATGAACCTCCGTCCGAGCTTCCGTAGACAGGGAAGCAATTGAGGAATTCCTGCGTTGCGCGAGCGGCCGTGGGAGTCTTCTATGCAACACAGACGGGCAACACCGAAACTCGGTATCGATTTTGGACAGTTTTAAAACTCCCTTGTTGTTGAGTTTAGAGCCCTAACTATAAATGATTTTGGGGACTGTTGAATTCGACACCTAGGAAACCGTTGCTTCCAAGTTGGCGGAAGCCACAGGTGGGGAGATCCAGCATTCTGTAATATAGGGGCCGAAACAATTACCAATACTATTTTGGGGGTTCCTTTTCATAGTTTTAGTATAATGGGCCCCGAAACCCTAGTGTAATATATTCTGATTATTAAAGTTTTAAATAAGGCCCCGACAACAGAGCCTCCTGCCTTCCCAAACCCCTGCAAAAAAGAAACCAGAACCCCTAATTTGGTAGCCGACCCTCCTACAAGGTACCTTGTAGGAATCCCCCGTGGGTTCTTGCTAGATCTTTGCGTTTGTAATTGCACGAAGTTCAAGAGACTCAGGGAATCATGGCAGTGAGCAGCCCTGCATCCCTTACAGAGCAGCCCTAGACCCCTGACTTCCGGAACGAGCATAGTTTGTAGCGGACTCAATATTGTGGGTTAAAATAAAAAATCAAAATATGGGGGCCTTGGTCCTCTTATGGCTTAAGGTGTATATATACCTCAGTTAGAAGGATGGTGGGCTCGTAGGGTGGCCCCAAGCTCTAAAGTTGCCCCATCTGGAGGCTCATGGGTACCTTGAAGGGATCGAAAGGTCCACTTGGAGGTTCATGGGTAGTTACAAGTGGAGGTATAAGTCTCCTAATATGGGCTTATTTATAGTGAATTGATTACCCGACTCATAACCGCACATACAACTGCCCATGAACCCTAATTCCTATCATCCTATACCCTAAACCCTAAACCCTATAGGACCCTTAAAGAAACCCCACTTATAACTACCCATGAACCCCCAAATACCCACCACATAGTACCCTTGTGGAAACCCTATATGGAACTCTATGTAGAGCTCTATACCCATGAACCCCCAAGTAGTCAAGAAGAGGATTTTATTAGGTGGAAGGCTTTCGCAGAGAGTCGCCGTGAGGGACCGTATGCAAGCATCGAGAGTATGCTGCATGTTGAAATTATCAGTATCATTATTCTCACTGTTTTTGTTACTATTGTCATGATTTTCATCATTCTCAGGTGTTATTACTACGATTGCTCTTATGGTTAGTCCGACAGGTCTGGAAGCCTCGGATTACGATGGAGAAGACTTCTCTGAGCTGGATGGAGTGATTGCGGGCTGCCCGACCTGGAACACAGGAGCATTAGGGTTTATGGTTTATCGGTTCAGGGTTTAGGGGACCCTACCCTCAACGCAGGAGCAGATGAATACCGCTCTGGAACCACCTGGGATGACTACCTTGACACCATCAAGGAGTCGACGGTGCATGTGAGGGTTCCCGCACAAACTGCCAGTGAGCTTTGCTACTCGCAAGTCGCAGAACCTGCCCAGAACAGATTTCGAGTTCTTGATGCCGAGCCCTTCACCCTTCAGGGTGTTCACAAGGTTCCTTCTTTCGTATAAAAGCCCCATAGAGGAGTACGACCTCACAGGGAAGGTCGTCGCTGTCTTTGGTTGCGGCGATTCCCAAAGCTACGCGGACAACTTCTGCGATGGCATTGAGGAGCTTCACAACGCTTTCCAAGCTGCAGGTGCCAAGATGGTCGGCTATGTGGATGAGTCTGGCTACTCCTACGGAGAGTCCAAGAGTGTGACCGGTAATCAATGAACGAGCACAGTTTTGGCTTCGAGATAACATTTCGGTTCGCCACGGAACTGCTGCTCCGTTCAGAAAACACATATAGAAGATCTGAATCACATTCATAAAGCGCCTTTTGTAATGATAGTAATAATAGTTCTAATAGTTGTAATAGTAATAATATTAATTATAGTTATAATAGTTATAATAGTTTTAATAGTTATAATAGTTACAATAGTTATAATAGTTATAATAGTTATAATAGTTATAATAGTTATAATAATAAGCATAGTAAAAATAGTAATAACAGTAATAATAGCAATAATAGTAAGAATAGTAAGAGTAGTAATAATAGTAATAATAGTAATAATAGTAAGAATAGTAAGAATAGTAATAATAGTAATAATAGTACGTATTAGGGCCCCTGTATAAGTCGCCCAGAGATGGTCCAGGTGAAGGATGGCAAGTTCCTGGGGCTCCCTCTGGATGAAGACAACGAGGAGGGTTTAGGGGTCTAGGGTTTAGGATTTGGGGTTTAGGGTTTAGGGGTTTAGGGTTTGGGGTTTAGGGTTTGGGGTTTAGGGGTTAGGGTTTAGGGGTTCGGGTTTAGGGCCCTCTTGATGAAGACAACGAGGATGACCAGACCGATGACCGCATCGCAGCTTGGGTGGAGCAGTTGAAGGGCGAGGGCATGCCGCTGTAAACCTAAGTTGTAGACTTGGTGGCTTTGCAGGTCGCCATGCTGCCTGCAAAGATGTTTTGTAGAATTTGTATATACAGCGATCGAGCATTTTTGTCAACTTGTACAGATTTGTAAGAAGAGCGTCAAGAAGTGCGACTCGTGGAAAGGTTCATAGCTCCTAAGAAGTTGAACTTGTAAGAGGTTTCCGCGATGGCTGCGCCGAACTGAATCTGTGATGGCCAGCAGCCTCTGATGGAAGTTTGGGAGAGGACAGAAAGGCAACGCGCAAAACAGCACCGAGCAATGGGAAGAATCCAAATTACTCGGATCATAAAAGAAGCTTTTCCCTCAGTTCTCTACATTATTCCGCGGTGTAGTACACTTACACCAACCCAAAAAATCACCCTTGCAGTAACCCCTTGCAGGAGGGGTCCCCGGGGTCTACGTTAGCCACAACATGATTTGTTAATGTTCGGAAGTAAAAATTGGCTTCTCTGTAGAGCCTAAACCCCTAAACCCTACACGCTAACCCTCCCTGAAGGGAAACATGAAGAAGTAGAGTTTTCATAAGATGAGCGTAAACCCGAAACCCGCGAATCCTCGCATATCGGACCCATGAAACGCAACCGGAAAATGCTACAGTCTGCTGCAGAGGCCCCACCCAGTACGTAATTTAAGGGCTTTTGGAATTAGATGCAGTGCAGTAATAGTATCCCCTTATTTATAGTCCCTAGTGTAACTTTCCGTGGTGCAATACTTCCAAAGGCAATATTGAACGTCATACAGGCCCCTGTATTTACAACTCAAACCCCTGTAACATCCTTACAGAACCGCTGAAGAAACCCTTGAAAGCATTACAGGAGAACCCTCTGCTGTAGTATTCTGTTTATGAAGACGTGTCAGGGGTATGCGTTTAGGGTTTAGGCCCCCCCTCGCTTTTTTTCAAGCTTGGATCTTCAGTTTTCCCGTATATGTCGCGTTGGCCTGGGCTCAAGAACCAGGTATCCATGCTTTCTAGGCACTTCATGGCAGGAATTTGGGGCCTCACGCCCTCCATAGGGTTTTGGGGGTTAGGGTTTGCTGTTTTCGACTTTCGGGTGCCGTGCCCTGAAGTAGCCTTAAAGCCTCAGAGGGTTTAGGGTTCAGAAATCTTTTGACTTGGGAGGTCGGTGGAGTTTCAGGGGGTTTAGGGTTTAGGGTCGGGGGGTCTCTAGGCTGTGTCTTTTGAGCCCTTTCCTCAGCTTCAGTTTCGCAGGAAGGATCTAGGGTTGGGGGTGCAGCAAGTAGTCTCAGCATGTTTTAGAAGGGTACTCTCAGTGCTTGTAACCTCTTTCTAGAGTTTCGCAGGCTAACCCAGACCCCCGGGAGGATCCGAAAAGTAGATCCCTTAATCCTAGAAAGTACCCTTAGTAGTATAGGGCCCCAAATTAGGGGATCTACTTTCTAGATCCTTCCGGGGTCTGGGAAGCTTAAGGTAGGACGGGCCGTCGGCCTTTCCCACGCCGGTTAAGCCGCGATCTCTGCGCTCGGCGGGGCCACCACTTGGAGGGTCGGGGGACTTAGTAACTGGTTATTTTCGGGGCTTATAACTGCCATAACCCCAAGTAGGGTCCCTTTTAGGGTACTTATAAGTCTACTTGCTACCTACTTACTAAGTCCCCCGACTCTCCAAGCAGATTGCCCGGGGCTTTCTATGCTTGCTGTTGAACTGTTCCCACCCCCCACATTAGGGATCGGAAAAAGTGGTGCGAGTATAACAGTATCTCCCCCTGACTTGTAGTCCGATTATACTCACAGCTTTTTCCTAGCACAATCCCCCGACTCGAATTTTGAAGGCCACCGTATTGAGCCCTGCAGGCTTGGGCTTAGGGTTCCTACGCCGCTTCACTAAACTCTAAATTCGGCCCTTACCTTCGAAATCCCCGAAGCCTTTATAAAGCCCTAACCCCCTGAATTGTAAGCCCCCATCGCCCCTCAACGGAGAAAAGCTCGACACAGCTGTTGAGAGTACGGTGCTGCTTTGAGGTTCTGAACGAACCATTCTTGGGTCGCGGCTTCCTTTACAGGTTCCTCCAAGTGTTCCTTAAACGGTTTCCTTTAAGGCTTCCTTTAAGCGTTCCTGTGCGGGTTCCTCTCTGAGCGTTCCTTTACGCTGATACTTGAAGGTTATGGCGTGCTGGATGCATCTCCAGACAGTATGGATGCCAGCTGTTTCGTGGTTGTTCTTGATAAGGACGCGTTTTGCAACAGGTCCGTTCATGAGAAGATGGCGGCATCTCTGAGGGTTCCGTTGAAGGTTCTGTTTATTATAAAGATGCCGGGTTCAGTAGTTCAAGGTTTTCGGACTTGGGCACCACCGAGAAACTCGAGAAACCTCCAGTTAAGGAATGCGGCTTCTTTTAAAGGCCGTTTAGATAAGGTAACGCCATCTGAAGTCTTAGAACCCCACACCAACTTCTAAAGCCTACAGCCCTAAAAAGCCGTAAGCGGAGGATCGTAGGGCTCTAACGCCTGAATCCTGAACCCTCAAACCCTAACCTTAAACCCTAACCCTAAAACTTGAATCCTAAATCCTTGAACCTACCTGTAGCCGAAAAGACCTACCTTTTTCAGGATATATATATATATATATATATATATATTTATATAGAAACCATAATAAGAAACTCTAAAAAGGTAGGTCTTTCCGGCTACAGGAAAACCCCAAACCCCACAGCCCTGAGCTGAGGATCTGGCAGCAGCATGACAGCCCGGATCGAGACCAGCATGGGGTTTACGCCTTGGTAATCTGGATTGCCCTCTTTGGCTTATAGGGTTTAGGGTTTGGGAAAATTCGGATTAGAGGTCCGTTGAGAGAGAATAGGGGCTTATAGGGTTTAGGGTTTGGGAAAATTAGGATTAGAGGTCCGTTGAGAGAGAATAGGGGCTTATATAGGGTTTAGGGTTTGGGGAAATTCGGACCAGAGGTCCGTTGAGAGAGAATAGGCAGACCCTGAGCCCTAAACCCTAAACCCTAAACCCTCAACATACCTGCGAGCTGGAAAAGAGGCGCTTAAAAAAAACCCTACCCTCGTTAACAAGTTCCTACGAAGTCCGAAGGCTGCACCTTAATGGAACCCTCTAATGTGCCTTCTTCAAGGGGGTGCATATGACACCCTAAATCTTCACAGAGCCGTAAACCTTCATACAGTAGAATCCGTAAACCCTGCAGAAACATGGCGACACTTCAACCATCCCTTACAGGAAGCATAGATCTATGGGGAACGGAAGGGTTTTGGAAGAATGTTGTAAGGATTTTACAGGAGGTTGTGATGCTAGTACAGGCGGTTGTGAGGATTTGACAAGAGGTTGTAAAGAGTCTATACAGGCTTGTAATTGCGAACAGATTGAATGCACTTCCCGAGACTCCAATGTCACTCAATTAAGGAATATACCTTAAACTATAGCAGGATCCCTAATATGATTCCAGGTATATTCCTTAATTAAGGGATATTGGAGTCTCTGGGTTCCGAAAAGGATAGCCTGAGTCCTGACGAAAGAAAGAAAGTGCATCTGCTGATTGGTGTTTTAGAACGCTGCCAAAGGGTATCGGGGCGCCTCTCATAAGGGGCCGCCAATGAGGGCCTGGATCCGGGGCACTAAGCCCACGACGATGATCTACAGCCCTACATGAAGGTTCATGGGTAATGTTGAATGGGGCTATGAGGATGAGGGTTTCATCGTTACTGTATGGAGGAGTTGAGGGTTTAGCAGTACATATTCGTGATGAATTGGTGCTAGAGGTCGTTAACTAGGTGGCACTTTGTGAAACTTTTAAGTTCCCTTATGGTCCCTACAGAGGTACCTATTCATAAATACTTTTACGGGCCCCGGAACTACAACCCAGGTAAGGCTTTTGTTACCTTGCCTCATTAAGCAGTTTGTTCGTTCATATTCTTATGGCTTAGGGAGCTTTCTGATTTGAGGTGTGTTGGGAGGTCAGAGACCCAAAGCCCTGCACTCCTAACTCGCGAACTCCAAACCCTGAACTCCTGAACCCTTGAACCCAAATACCCCTGAACCCTAAACTCCCTAAACTCCCTGAACCCTACCTCTAAACCCTAAACCCCAAACCCTAAACCCTAAACTCCCTGAGCCCTAACCCTAAACCCTAAACCCCGAACCCTAAGCTCAGAGCCGACAGAACAGTTGAACTACATTGGTATGAACTGGAAAGGCTGTATACTGGTACACCAGAAAGTTGGAATATGGGTTCAGGGTAGGATACCTTATAATTTACCATAAAGGGTTTAGGATAACCATATTCCAACTTTCTGGCTGTTACTTTATAGTGGTACACCTGCTGGCGGTCGAATGTTGTCTGACATTTAGCGCGACCAGCGTGACGCCCCACCCTGACAAGCAGTACAAAAACAACGAAAACTGGCGGCTCTGCAAGGTTTTCCAGGAGCGCTCCCACACCGACTCTGCCGGGAAGAGCAACGAAAACAGCGTGCGTGCGAGGGCTGATATAGAGCCGGGAAACAAGGCTTTGGGCGAGGCCATGGACCGAATGGCTGTGAAAAGCTCGGGCAGCAAGAAGACCCGATTAAAGGGAACTCCGGAAAGTTGGAATATGGATAATGGTAGGATCCCCTATAATTTACCTTAAAGTGGTTACGATAATGATGTTCCAACTTTCTGGCTTCTACTGTAAGGCCCGTATATTCGGGTCCAAGGTTTCAGGGTTCAGGCTGTAGGGTCCAGAGTTGATAACCTACTATTTGCTTAAGAACCCCCAAAAATGAAAAATATATTCCTTATTGGGGTAATATAGGGATTATTATTTTTATTTTTTTGGGGGTTTCTTAAGCAAACAGTAGTAACATGAGAGTATCATCGCCCCCCCCCCGATCCCCAGCCCACCCACCAATTGCGCCCGCTAGACGCGCTCTTTAGCCTCAGGTTGTTTAAACTCTCTACCCCGAATCCGAAACTCTAAACCCGAGACCCGAAACAGATAGATTCGCCCCACGACAAGGTCGTTGCGGATCAGGCTGCACTACACCAAGACGCACGGAATCTCAGAGGGAGTCTTTTGGATTTCTAGGCTTTAGGGTTTCCGGTAGCGGTCTGGGCTTGGTTGCCTTGTTATACTTATAATATTCCGACCCCTATCCCTGAACCCTGAAGCCTAAACCCAAACTCTAATATAGGGGCTTAATTACTAATACTATTTTGAGGGTTCCTTATTACAATTATAGTATACTGGGCACCCAAAACCTATTCTCATTATTAAGGTTGCTTCAGAGGGCCCTTGAGGTTTGTTGAAGATCGCTCCAGGAGAGACCTTTGGCGGGCTTTGCCGTCAGGGCTGGCGCTGTATGTAAGTTAAGGATCATACTTTAAGTGGGGTTCCTTTAAGGTTTCTATAGGGTTTAGGGTTTAGTGTATAGGATTATAGGGTTTGGGGTTTAGGGGTAGCTATAACTGGAGCTACAAGTCCTGTAATGCGGATGATGAGTATGGTTACCCTACTTATAACCCCACTGATAACTACCCGATGAACCTCCAAGTAAAGCATTATAGGACCAAGTAGTGGTTATGATACCTTGTTTCATACCCCAGTTCCTAAGTCCCATGACCCTTCCTCTTCAAGTGCCTTCATACTTGGAGGGTCGGGGGACATAGTAACTGGTTATTTTAGGGACTTATAAGTGCCATAGCCCCAGTTAGGGTCCCTTTTTGGGTACTTATAAGTCTACTTACTACCTACTTACCAAGTCCCCTAAAGACCCTCCAAGTAGGATAGTTTTTACGAGGCTCAGATCCCCAATACGAGACCTTTAAGCTTTTCGAGCTCTTATAGTTTAGTCGGTATAGTTCTTCAACCTTAGACCCGAAACCCTAAACCCTAAACCCTAAACCCTAAACCCTCAACCCTCAACCCTAAACCCTAAACCTCGGTGTAGGAATCGGAAAGTTTAACCTTCTGTTTCTGTGGCTTCTTGGGGGGGGTAAGGACGGGAGCCCCAAAGCCCCAAACCCTCGACGCCATCGCAAGGGCCCTAACGTCTGGGCCTCAATAAAAGGGAATAGGATCCTTTTGTTATACGCATTTGTATGTGTACATATATATATATATATATTTATGTATATGTGTAAAAGTGTATATATATATACACATGTATATGTAGATGTATATGTACATTTAGATGTAGTTGACTCCCTACAGCCCTGGCATTATGAAGGCCCCCCACCTGAAACCATGGTAAAACTTCCTCAAGCCCTCTGAAACCACCTTTTCATAGAAGCCAGAAAGTTGGAATATCGTTATCCTGATGCCCTTGAGGTAGCATTAAGGGAATCCTAGCACTAATCATCCTAAATCCATGTTCCAACTTTTCCATATGGGAGTTTCCGACAATAAGGGACCCTACTTGGAGGGTCGGGGGACTTAGAAATTGGTTATTTTATGGACTTATAAGTATCCGAACCCTAGTTGGGGTCCTTTTAGGGTACTTATAAGTCTACTTACTACCTACTTACTAAGCCCCCCGTCCCCCAAGTAATATAGCGCCCGAAATGGTAGGATCCTCATTATAAGGACCCCAACATAAGGTACTACTGAACCCCAGTTCATTAGTCGCACCACTTAGAGGCCCACGAGACCGAGTAAGTAGTTACTAACTCCCCTGGGCCTCCAAGCAGAAAGGGTTTAGGGTTTAGGGTTTAGGGTTTAGGGGTATCTTGTCTTGGGCTCTGTATTGAGGATCCCTTGCAGCAAAAAGCTATGTGCGAAACTATAGGTAACGGGGATAGACGCCCATACCATATTCCTTCATAACAGCTTAAGCATTACCCCAAACCCTACCTGGAGGGTCGGGGGACTCAGGGGCTGGTTATTTTAGGGACTTATAAGTACCAGAACCCCAACTAGGTTCCCTTTTAGGGTACTTATAAGTCTACTTACTACCTACTAAGTCCCCCGACCCTCCAAGTAAACCTAACTCCGAAGACCTGAGCAGAGGCCTCTGACCAGCCGAAACTTCCTAGAGCTCGCCAAGTCAGGGTGCGACTGAGAGCTTTTTTTAAGGGCCGGGGTGGGTTTGGGGTTTACTATAAGTGGCTAAATAAATATAAATATTATGGTGGGGGTTCCTTACTATAAGTATAATGGCCCCAAAACCATGTTCTAATTATTAAGGTACATTTGGGTTTTTGGATCGGGGGGCGGGGTTAGGGCTTAGTTTTTAGGGTCGAGGTTTCGTAATATAGGGGCCTTGACAATTAGAATAGGGTTTTGGGGGCCCATTATACTATATAAGCCTTAAGGATCCCTTTCAAGGAACAGTATAAGGCCCCTATATAATTGCTTCCAGAGTGTTTTTGGGCTTCGTGCTGGGTTTATTGGGGTGCTTAGGAGGCCTTATACTTGGAGGGTTGGGGGACTTAGTAACGTAATGGGCTCCTCAAGGGCCCCTTTAAAGGGATCTATAGGGATTCTATAAGGGTATAGGGTTTAGGGCTTAGGGTTTAGAGTGCTTGGAGGGTCGGGGGACTTAGTAACTGGTTGTTTCAGGGACTTATAAGTATCCGAACCCTAGTTGGGGTCCCTTCTAGGGTACTTATAAGTCTACTTACTACATACTTACTAAGTCCCCCGACCCTCCAAGTAAGAGACTAGGTTCCTCAGTAGTACCCTTTTGCGCTGTTTCTTGTTGGGTTCCCTTATCAAAACCAAACAGTAGGAACAAGAGTATTCTTATTACTAAGTTAAAAAGCTACTCAGGAACGTAGGAGAGCTTTTGGATGGTTTACAGGCTTGTATTTTTTTGGGCTTTTGCATAGGTCTTCATAGGGTGATCTGGGCTGTTTAAAGGACATGAGCATGTTTGCCCGCTGTAACCGCCCCGACAATAGACCCTATGCCCGAAACCCGAACTACCCCAAAACCCTAATCACTCCGGTGCCTACAGTAATCATGAGAGTAGGTTTTGGGTGCATTTGATACAATACTTATAATGACGAACCCCCAGAATAGTATTGGCAATTACGTAGGCCCTTATAGTAGGTGAGCATTTCGGGTTTTGGCCCTTGGTATGAAGAGGGAGGTTCTCCACTCGCCGTGCGAACCCCGGGCTGCAAGGAGTGATGCGCTACTTGGAGGGTCGGGGGACTTAGTAAGTAGGTAGTAAGTAGACTTATAAGTACCCGAAAAGGTAGTGTAGGTAGTAAGTAGACTTACAAGTACCCTAAAAGGGACCCTTATTGGGGTTATGGTACTTATAAGGCCCTAAAATAACCAGTTACTAAGTCCCCCGACCCTCCAAGTACCAGGGCTTTCGCCCAAGGAGCTGAGAGAAAGCCCTAAACCAAAAGCCTTAAATCTTAAATCCTAAGCAATACACCCGAAATACTAAATTCTAAACGCTAAACCCTAAAGCTGAAGTGTATAGTAGCAGTATTCTAAACGCTAATATACCCTGCAGAAATCTGGCCAGGTATTACGACGGCTGCATCGTCCACCGGGTCGTCAAAGGCTTCATGCGCTGCCTGGCATGGTTTGGGTTTAGGGTTTCGGGTTCACGGTTGAGGGTTCTGCATTTAGCCTGAAACGCTCTTTGTGTTGAGCGACGTTCAGTCGTACTATGGTCATGGGCTTTTGTTAGCCTGTAGCCTCACCCTTCAAAGCCGTACATCCAAAACCCTTACTTGGAGGGTCGGGGGACTTAGTAACTGGTTATTTTAGGGACTTATAAGTACCATAACCCCAATTAGGGTCCCTTTTAGGGTACTTGTAAGTCTACTTACTACCTGCCTACTAAGTCCCCCGACCCTCCAAGTAACTTCAGTCGAAACGATATTCGAAGTTAAACCCTAAACCTTAAACCCTAAACCCCGAAACCCTTAACTTCAGTCGAAACGATATTCGAAGTTCGGTCCTCGCGATGTTTCGGACGGATAGACCCCAAGAAACTAACGAGTGGTACATGTACCTAGACGGAAGCCGTGATGTAGAGTGACGCCTATCAAGCATCTTGAAGTTCTCGTAGAATGTTGTGAGATCAAGGCAATATAGGGGCCGTATTAACTAGAACAGGGTTGGGGGGCCCATTATACTATAACTATAATAAATGAGGAACCCCCCCAAATAGTATAGGTAATTAGTAAGGCCACTTTAGCACAGTGTTTTTGGGAGCCTGGCTGCAGAACGCAGCCTGCAGTTCCCATAGCCAGCTTGAAGTTTAATGGGTAGGTATAAATGGGGAAACAGAGCCTCTAATATGGGTTATATGTATAGTTACCCTACTTATAACTACACATGAACCTCTAAGAGAAGCTTCTGGAACTCCCTGCTGCACACCTCAGAGTTGGAATATAGGAGCCTTTCTAATTACAATTTGGTTTTGAGGTATGCTATAATGTACTCGTATAGAAGCGACAAGAAGAGATTGCTATTCATATTAATTCGTACACCTGTATTCGCAGTGTCTACGGATCTTTGGGGCTTAGTCAGAGGTCCACCCTTGCAGGGTGTAATGTCCGAGATTCACTGCCAGGTTCATGGATAGTTCTAAGTTTCGGGGGGTTTGGGGTTGAGAGTTCAGAGTTTAGGGTTCAGGGTTTGAGGTTTCCGGCTTAGGGTCTACTTGGAGTTTCATGGGTGGTGAAAAGTCGGTGTACGAGTCCCCTACTTGAAGAAATTGCCCTACTTATAGCCGCTTCTACCCATAAACCTCCAACTACTTGGAGGGTCGGGGGACTTAGTAACTGGTTATTTTAGGGACTTATAAGTATCATAACCCCGATTAGGGTCCCCTTTTAGGGTACTTATAAGTCTACTTACTACCTACTAAGTCCCGCGACCCTCCAAGTAGGAATCAGGAAGATCAGTTAAAATTTATAACACCTGTCTTGTTTCGGTGAACCCCGAGCCTGAGTCTATTCATTTTAGCATGTTTTCCTTGTGTCGCAGGTTTGTGTTCTATGGACAAGACTAAGTAACAAAGTAACTAGGGTTCCTTAAAGGGTTCCTTTAAGGGATCTATAGGAGTTCTATAAGGGGAAGTTTAGGTTACTAAGAGGATCATGGGATTTAGACAAGGGTCTTGGCTTCAGGATGCAGCAAGCACGATTGAAGGTTCACAGTCTGCAGGGGCCAACTTGCACAGTGTCCGGTGCAGAGTGCTCATGCAACCGTTTCCATCTCAAACACAGATTGGGATTCGTCTACAACCCACGCCACTTTTATACTCCCCCACACCACTTTTATACTCCCCCATTAGAGTCCTAAGCAACACTTCTGAAACCCTGGAAAAAACCGGAAGGAACGATGACCAACTTCGAATAGACAGACTTGATAGTTTATTCTCCATCCCCAACACAGCTTCTTATTCTTAAGGCCATCATATTATGATGCCAGGATGCAGACAGGCGATCCCGATCCCAGCACTTCGAACGGCAGTGGTGGGGAGCCACCCTGGCTTGTTTCCATCATAGGGATCCTTAGGGGTGTAGGGGGGAGGGGTGCAGGGGACTATATTTCCTTAAATAGGCCTTATTAGTCCTTATTATGGGCCTTAAGGCCCCCTACCCCCCCTCCCCCTACACCCCTAAGGATCCCTATGATTCCAAGAGCTGGGAGAAAGGCCCAAGAATTTGCAGTTTGGGGTTCGGGCCATGGGTAATTATAAGGGTTCCTTTACGGGCCCCTTTAAAGGGATCTATAGGGATTCTATAAGGGTATAGGGTTTAGGGCTTTTGGAGTTCAGGGTTTGCGGTGCAGGCTCTATAGGCACTGTAGGAGTCGGAACAATTACCAATACATCGTCACAGTTAAAGTTCCGATGCTTTTGTGTTTATGGCATCTTGCGGAGGATGCGGAGTCTCCTCCACCCTTTGGTTGTTATGGACAGGAGACTCTGGTGGAGGAGTCGAAGGGGTGCAAGGTGTTCAAGTGCGACATGCGAAAGTACCATGAACTTGCGTCCTGCGGCAGCATGAATTTTGTCACCGAAAAGGTCCGGAAAATTGCTGTTCATAAGATGGTGGAGCTTCGAACGGCGGCATGGATAAAACCTAAGTGGCGCGTGCTCTCAGTGCTCTCACTTTACCTGCATCAGGCTGGACTGCAAACCTTGCCTGGAGGGTCAGGGAATTAGTAAGTAGGTAGTAAGTGGGCTCATAGGTATCCTTAAAAGGGGCCCTACTTGGGGTTAGGATACTTCTAAGTCTACAAAAAAACTAGTTACTAAGTCCCCCGGCCCTCCACGTGGAAATGCCAGTCACCGCAGCAAACATATTCGCCATACGTCTTGTAGCTTAACATGTCAGGCAAGCGGACACCCTTTCCCCCCGCACAGGGTCCGAAACGCCCCCTCAGGGCACACGTGGTTATATATTACTTCCCGGAAATTATCTATTCCGCCATGCGGACCACGTAAAACGGACCTGTGCTCTCTCTGCTTCTCCGCGAGCATACGTGCGAGCTATATTGAGAACGTTCTTCGCTCGTCGAAATTATCGTCCCACAGATGGACTATTTGCGCATGTCCGTGATTCGCAGCTACGCCCGCCATGGAACAGGTACGGTTGACCGCGGCTGTTGGCAGTTATAAGGTTGGACAGTTGCACATCGTGAGACGGGTGCAGCCCGTGATGGGTCTGGACACACATGTTGTTTTAGCTTCAAACGCCTTTGCGAGAGCATCGCCAAGCTTGAATGCCTATGGGATCTTGTGGAAGACGCGGGGCGCCGAAACATGCACTTTACTTAGCCTGGCTAGCGGACAAACTGGTCCATCCGTTGAAAACTATGGACAGAGGACTCTGGTGAAGAAGGGATTCCTCTTTATAATGTATTAGAATATACCCCAAGAGTATATACGAACGATTGAGGCCCTTACTTATATGAGGGAAGCCCGCGTAAGATCCTGCATTACAGCGGATCCTTCATCATGCCCATCTTCAGCAAAACCATAAGTCCGAAACACAGCGCGCCGCGTCGGAAAGCCCGACTTGGAGGGTCGGGGGACTTAGTAACTGGTTATTTTGGGGACTTATGAGTACCATAACCCCAATGAGGGTCCCCTTTAGGTTACCTATAATGTCTACTTACTACCTACTTACTAAGTCCCCCGACCTCCAAGGAAGGTTTGGGGTTCAAGGGATCCACGGCTCTCAAACAGGGGTACTATTGTCATAGGAGGCCAAAAGGGGCTTTAGCCTGTGGGGATTTAGTAGGCATTAGGGTTCCCATAGTCGGGTTCATATTAAGGAACACCTACCCCAAGAATCTTTCACCCCCCTTTTGGCCTCCCATCATATTGGGGCTTAAATAATTACCAATACTATTGTGGGTTCCTCATTATGAATATAGTACAATGGGCCCCAAAACCTATTGTGGTACAATGGCCCCCAAACCCTATTCTAATTAGTAAGGCCCCTATATTAGGAACAAATTAGAAATTAGTAGTATCGCCTGTTCACAGATTTGGGCTTTAGACGGGTTCTGGAAACACTGGTAAGCATACTGGAGCCCCTGAGAGGCCCTTTGCAAAATACACCAAAACCCCAAGTCCGATGATTTGGGCTCCTTTACTACTATTTGCTTAAGAACCACCAAAAAATCAAAAATGTATTCCTTATGGGGGTAATATAGGGGTTATTATTTTTTAGTATCTTTTGGGGTTGTCTTAAGCAAATAGTAGTTTAGGACGTAGGATGTAAGGCGCGCTGCCGATGCTTGCCTTGGAACATGTAGCCCTCAGTATTGACGCCTCTAAACCATAGTCCATATCATATGCCCCATGTAAGTCTTCGGCTTGGTAACTCGGCCGGAACAGAAGTAGAAGGTTCATGGCTTTATTTGGGGTTGAAGCTAGCTTCAGTGGGGTTCTAAGTAGTTGTCTTCAGGCAGGCTTACCTTGATTCCTTTTCCTGGTAAAGTACGGTTGGACTTCTGATTTCCAGTGGTGTCCGACTGGAACTTGGCAGGTCAATTTACGGCCCGACTTTCCAAGACGAGGCGGCAACACAGTTTGGGAGTACTGAGATGGCCATTGGGGGTCGAGTGCAGGAACAGATAGTTGCTTGTTGCGATGTGACAGCGTCAGATACAACCATTGGTTGCTAGCAGGTTGTATCAAGCATCGTATGTTACCCCGAAGCCCAGAACGAAAACCACGGAAAATTGCAGTTTGGGAAGAGGTTGTTTTAATGTCATTTCTTAAGGCAACTATGCCTCAGACCCCATAAAACACTATAGCGCACTTATACAAGAACCCAATTCCTTTACGGCGCTAGTCTAGATGATACGATGGTTGTGTTTTAATGTCAGGTTTGCGGTGAACTGGTATATAGGGTGGTTAGGACTTTTACTGACCTGCAGCAGCAACAACGGCAACTACTACTACTACTACGACCACCAACACCGCCACCAGCACCACGACTACTACTACTGCTCCTACTACTACTACTACTACTACTACTACTACTACTACTGCTACTGCTACTACTACTACTACTACTACTACTACTACTACTACTACTACGACTACTACGACTACTACGACTACTACGACTACTACGACGACGACTACTACTACTACTACTACTACTACTACGACTACTACTACGACTACTACTACGACTACTACTACTACTACTACTACTACTACTACTACTACTACGACTACTACTACTACGACTACTACTACTACTACTACTACTACTACTACTACTACTACTACTACTACTACTACGACTACTACTACGACGACTACGACTACTACCACCACCATCAAGACGGTCCTGTTTTATTACCTCAGAGCTTCCTTGCTGCTGTCTTGTTGCAAAAGTCAGCCTCGAGCTTGCGTCCCGGCTGTGAGAAGGGCTTAGGGTTTAGGGTTTAGGGTTACCCCAGCTGTTGTCTTGATGATGGTTTTGCTCAGATTGCATTCAGAGTCAGCCCAGCATGTATTCCTCAGCTCCCTACACCGTACATAAAGCTTGTATTGTTCCCGCAGATCGTCGCGAGCCTCTCCCACGATCGAGTGGGTGTTGTATCCATGGCAAATGCCCGGGAACTCGGACAAGAGCTGGGGGTTGGGGTTTAGGTTTTTGAGGGTCTTGAGGTGCAGGGTTTTAGGGTTGTTCTCATGGTTTTGAGTTTAAACTAAATGGGGATTTCCGAAAATAGGGGACCCTAAAATAGTACCCTAAATTGTAGGATCCCCACCCAAACAAGGTACCCCTAATTTTCGGAAACTCCCAAATCTCGTGGAGATGATTTGCCGAGAGTCAATAAATATACTTGGTGCGGATGACCTCACCCCTAAACCGATGTATCCGAAACCCTAAACCGATGTTTCCCAAATCCTAAACCGATTATCTCAAATCCCAAACCGATGTATCCCAAATCCTACGCCGATGTATCCCAAATCCTTAACCAATATATCCCAAATCCTAGGTCCTAAACCTAAACCCATACGGCCTGAGCCCTAACACCCAAATCCCTAAATCCTTGACCTCGCACCTCAATCCTAAAGCAGTAAGCCCCCCTAAACCCCTGAATCCGGAAACCCAGGGTGCCAAGGCCGTTTCATAGCTTCTCAGTGCCTTCTGTGACCGTGACCTGGGTCTTTCCGGAACACATAGGGGCTCTGCTTGGAGGATCATGAGAAGCACTAGCTAGTAAGTAAAGTGAAGGATCCTTTTAATCGTGGTATACGTGGGTAGTTGTCAAAATTACGGTCCCTTTTTGGGTCCCTAACATAGTACGGCACCTAATATTTAGGGTACGCAAAAAGGGACCCTAATTTTGACAACCACCCACATAGATAGAAATTTAGTTACCTCATTTGCAACCCTAGCTACTAGGTTCAATGATCCTGTAAGTGGGGGGATATTCGGGTATACCAAAGACCTTTCCAGGGAATAGCTTTCGGATGCTATGCCCCTTTACCCCATGTTCTGAACTCCAGGATCGAAACACGAGGTTCCAAGTTTTTGTTCACCACCCAGACCCCTTTTGGAGGATCCAAAAAGTAGATCCCTTAATGGGGGCTCCTACAAAATACCCTTAGTAGTATAGGGCCCCAAACTAAGGGATCAACTTTCTAGATCCTCCCGGGCGGTCTGGGCAGTACTTGTTGCTGTTCGCTTTAGAGTCTGATTGGCAGTACCGTTGAGCCTCACGACTGGCCAAGAATGGTTTTTGCGCATGTCTTTAGGGGTTTCTCTTGCAAGGCCCTAACCCCAAACCCTAATTGGAAAGTTTCGGGGAGGCCAGTGATACACACGGGCATCTGCCTTTTAATTCGAGCTTCCTGTGTATTCCCTGTCGCTTGAGGATTGACAGATGTTCACTGCCCGGAAGTCATTGCGATGATAACGACGGTGATGACGATTATGCGAGCGATCATCAGGATAATGATGATGTTGATGATGATGACGTCATATAGTTATAATATTAGTAACTATAATATAACACATTGACATCAGAGGTAATATATTATTTCTACAGAAGGCAGAGTACCCTGCCACTGCAGAGTGCCGTGAACTGGACTGAGAAGGCAGAGTGCCGGCATCTGGCGGGACAAGGCAGAGTGCCGGTGCTGGAGCAGGATGAGTGCGCCTGTGCATACGGGTTCGCTTGGTCAGGCGTTTTGGGCCAATGTGCGATTGGGCAACATATTGTGGGAGTTTTACGAAAGGAGTGAGACAAATGGAACTTTGCTGATGGGCCCAGGTCCATGAAGTATCGCCATGGGCCCTAAACCCGGGATCTGCAAGGGCTACGGCCTAGGTTTTTTTGGGTTGAGGGTTTCGGGTTGTGGGTTTAGGAGTTTAGGGTTTAGGGTTCTTTCAGCAATGTAAATCTTACTAAACCCGGAACCCTAAACCCTAAAGCCCGAAATGCTTCCGAATCCGAAGTCTCCTTCATGCTTCTTCCCTCAAGCCTAACTTTTAGAGTCCCGGGCTTAAGGGGTGTGTGTACGGTTCCCGGTTTACCCCAGGCCCTAAACCCTAAACCCTACCCGGGTTTAGGGTTTAGGGTTTAGGGTTTAGGGTATCAAACTTGATTGAAGTTGAAGCTGCAAAAGCCCAGGCAGGATTCAACACAAACTCGTCCCAGTTCTTCATCACTTTCCAGGCGCATGGGGATAGCCAGGGTTTCAGGTCTCAGGTTTCAGTTTAGGGTTTAGGGTTCAGGGTTTCGGGTTTAGGGTTCAAGGTTTACCTGTAGCCGAAAAGACCTACCTTTTTAAGGAACTATAAATAGAAACCATAAGAAGGAACCCTAAAAAGGTAGGTCTTTCCGGCAACCGGCAGGGATTAGGAGGTGCCAGTGCCACAGTCTTCAGGTTGTCAGGATCTTCGGGTGCGCGGGCATACGGTGGATGATATAAATCCTGCATTACCCATTATAAGAAGGAATATACCATGACGCCCATAGTTTAGGGTCCTTAAGGTAATGCAGGATTTTTATCATCAACAGTACGGATCTAGGAATTTCCGGAGGACGTGCGTTGTCGCGCGTGGCATGATGTACTTGAAGGGTCGTTGGACTTAGTAATTATGGACGGAACTTCGAATCTTACTTACTGAGTCCCATGATCCCCCCAAATATGTTCTGCTAGGATGCCCAGTAGTACCCTTATTCCCTTTTTGTAGTCCTAGGTTCCTCACAAAGTTACCCAATACCAAAAAGAGAGGCCTTTTTATTCTTAGGTTACTGGGTATCCTAGTCTGGCATCGGGGTTTCAGCGGGTTCATCATACGTTATTGCAGCTAAACCCCTTAAGCCGGAAGCCTGGAAGTCTGGAAAAAACCCGACGGCCCTAGTTCTCCAAGCAAGCTTTATAGGGGATAGGGGTTAAACAAATTAGATAAGGATCAAAAAAATTAAGTAAGGAGCAAGAAAAATTAAATAAGGATCAAAAAAATTTGACAGGTATCCACGAAAGGAGGGGGGTAACGGAGGAAAGAAATAAAGAAAGAAAGAGAGAAAGAAAGAAAGAAAGAGAGACAGAAAGAAAGAAAGAACGAAAGAGAGAGAGAGAGAGAGAGAGAGAGAAAGAAAGAAAGAAAGACAGAAAGAAAGAAAGACAGAGAGAGAGAGATAGATAGAAAGCAAGAAATAAAGACAGAGAGAGAGAGAGAGAGAAAGAAAGAAAGAAAGAAAGACAGAAAGAAAGAAAGAAAGAAAGAAAGAAATAAAGAAAGAAAGAAATAAAGACAGAAACAAATAAAGAACGAAAGACAGCAAGAAAGCAAGAAAGAAAGAAATACACAAAGAACGCTTTCAGGAAAGAAAGAAAACAAAAACAAAGAAATAGATACATAAAGAAAGCTATAAGGACAGAAAAAAGAAAACACATGGAAATGACGAAAGAGAGTTAGAAACAAAGAAAAACAAACAATAAAGAAATAACGAAATAACAAAAATAGAGACATAAAGAAAGACGAAAGGACATAAATTAACTAAGATGTTGTTTTGTTTTATGTTATCTTCTGTTATATTGTATTGTCGTCTTTTATTATGTTATTATATGCTATAAGAAGCAAGGTTCTGCTATGTCAGAAAATGTCACACTAATTATGTGATGTCGAACCATCTTATGTCGTTCTTATGGTTTACTGTGTTATATTATGTTAGAGCGCTAACGGAAGAAGAGGCACGAACAGGCACAGAAGAACGAAAGACCCACCGCCGCGCTTTTCGAGCCGTGCAAGCTTGATTCAAAGAGTGTTTTCGAAGCCCATCATGTGAGCGTTGTGTCTGCAAATTGGGGGGGGGGGCTGCGCCCCCCCCCCTCAACCCCCCCACTGAACCAGAATCGCCAAATGAGGGGGTGTGTTTAAGATAGGTGATGAAGCGGAATACCAGCAACAGCTACACCACGAAATCCGTCCTAAAGGCGAAATTGTAACGAAAATCTGATTTTCCCGAGGAACAGCCAAAGATAACTTTTTTCCCTCTGAAAACCTGAAGAAATGACACGAACGCCATAGGTAATAGAAAAATAGTGTTTTTCCTAGATAAAACCAAGGTTGTTAGGGCCTGCATTACACCCGCAACCCCTAAACCCTATAAGGGCCTAAACATTTAATTACCAATGCTATTGTGGGGATTCCTGATTCTTATAAGCATAGTATCATCTACCCATAAGCCCCCTCGCCCTTCTGAAACCCGAAAATACCACCCGGGCAAAGGCCAGCGAGCACCTTGATGGAAAGCACACGATCTTCGGGCAAGTAGAGGCAAGGCCTTGTCCTTTTTCATGGTTAAATAATTCCTACTAAGGGATATAGGTATAGGGCTCTGTCTATTATTTCTAACAGGACAAGGGTGTAGTAGAGGCAAGGCCGTGGAGGTTTGGGAATTAGGGGTTTAGGGCTTAGGGTTTAGGGGGTTAAGGGTTGAGGGGGCTTTTGAGGGTTTGGGATTTAGGGGACTGTTGGGGTTTAGGATTTAGGGTTTGGGATATGGGGGTTTAGGGTTTAGGGGACTTTTGGATTTGACGAGTTTGGGGTTTAGGAATTTGGGAGCTTACCTGGAGGTTCATGGGCAGGACTTGTTGCAGGCATGTTGGGGAGATTCTCACAGGGCTTCACAGGGTGACCAGAGCGCCGGGAAAGGCCATCTGTTTTAACCCTACCCAAACACCAAACACCAACCCAGACCTCAAGCACTAAGACCTAAAACCGTGAACCCTAAACCCACAGACCCTAAACTCTAAACCCAAGTGCCCTAAAATCCTAAACCCCTAAACCTTAGGCCCTAAAGCCCTGAACCTGAAACCCTTTGTAGCCTTTCTGCTTAGGATCACCTGGCAGGGAAGTGCATTCTTGAACCCTAAAACCCAACCCCAAAGTCGTAATGTGGCGAAGGCAACCTGTTGTTCATCTTCTTTTCCTTCCATGGGGGTTTAGGGTTTAGGGTTTAGGGTTTAGGGATCGCCTCAACACTTGTCTCCAAGGACAAACCCCGATGGCTGCCAAGAACGACAGGGCTACCTGGGAAGCCAAGCAGGCCTCGGAGAAGGATGCTCAGGCTGAGGCAATAGCCCTCAAGCTGCAGCTCCCCGAGACCACGGCAGCCATCAGGGAGGGCTTGGCAAAGCCAGAAGCGGAGCCTTTAGTCACGTGCGAGGCACCGCCGCTTGAATTCGACCGAACCTGGGCCGGTCCTGCATTCCCGTGTAGCCTCCGTGCAGCCATTGTGTCCGGCGTGCTGTCGTAACAGGGTTCTGCGAGCTGACGCTCCTTATGTGCAGATGCACCCGGCTGAACTTTGCGCCCATCTGTTGAAAGGCACGTGGAGCTGGAAGCACTGAAGTTCAACTCAAGTTCTAAGCTTAAACCCTAAACCCTAAACCCCTAAACTTAAACCCTAAACCCTAAAAGGGAACCCTAACTAAGCCTTAAACCTCAAACCCTGCAAACTTACTTGCAGGAGTCGGACCTCGCAACTTTGCGGGAGATCGAGCAGGTGAAGGCGGGGTATTATAGGGGTGTTAAAAATTAGAAAAGGGTTTGGGGTATATCATACTATGATCTTAATAAGGAGCCCCCACAATAGTATTAGGAAATGTTTAGGCCCCCCCACAAGGCTTGGCGGCGACAGGTAACGTTGATTTGCCGACTCCGGTTACTTCCCGGTTAGGAATCTATGTTTAACGGCAGTAGTGGGTTGACAAGCATTTGCAGATCTAGGGCGTGCCCTAAACCCGCATAATTAAATGCCTTCCAGGCTCCCTGCACCCTACGTGCTGAAGCGCTTGAAACCCAAATGCTCCAACCTGACACGCGACAGCGCACCGTCTAAACATCAATATCAACATGCCCAAACCTAAATCCCAACCGTCGAAAACCCACACCCATAACCAAGCCCTCCCAACGAAACCAAACCCTCTAACCCTCGAAACCTAAGCCATGCAACCACCGAAGCCTAAACCTACTTGGAGGGTCGGGGGGACTTAGTAAGTAGGTAGTAAGTAGACTTACAAGTACCCTAAAAGGGACCCTAATTGGGGTTATCGTACTTATGAGTCCTTAAAACACCCGGTTACTAAGTCCCCCGACCCTCCAAGTACAGAGCCCACTACAAGCCCCATGGAAGCTCTTAACATAGCAATGTTCAAAACCCGATTAGCCTAAATCTAGGGGCCTTAAACCCTCAACAACCCTAAATCCCTTAAGCTCTGAACCCCCGAACGCCGGAACCCTAAACCCTAAATGCAATCTTGGCTTGGCGATTTAGGCTCCATGCAAGAGGGCAATAGGGCTTATGAGTTTGAAGGTTGATATGGGGTTTAGGTTGTAGGGTTTTTTATGGTTATGCAGGGCCTCAGGGTTTGAGGGCTTATATACGCTTCAGGGTTTAGGGCTTTAGGGCAAAGTTTTGGGCTGCACGCCAGAATGAAGGGTTCTGTAGGAGGTTTAGGGGTTTCTGTGGTGCTGTATGAGGGTTATACAGGGCTTCTTAAGCTCTTATGGTGGTTATAGTGCTGCATTAAAAGATCTTGCTTTATGAGTTTTATCTTTGTTATAGTAGGGCTTTATAAGGGTTTCTAGCCTGAGCAGTTATCAATTGATTCATACTGTCCTTCAGGGGTTTCTCGTCATCGCCATTGCTTAGGGTACGCCAAAACACTATTCCAACTACGAGCGCCTTCATATTACATGCCAAGCACCCCAAGCACCCGTTAAGCCCCAAGCATCTAAACCGCTAAAGCCATGGAGCCATAAACCCTCCAAGCCACTGTAACACACGTAGAGGACCCTCGTAGAACCCATGAAGGAACGCTTAATAGCTACAATTACCCTGGAAAACCACCGTAAAACACGTGCAAGCATCCTTTGAATACCCTTATCCAAACCCTGGTCCCTTCTCATTCGACTTTGCAGCCAGGTGAAGGGCGACAGGTGCAAGCCTCAAGCAGGGAAATTTGGGTGGGGCACGAAGGTTCAGGCATGCTGCATGCTCCGGTCTGAGCCCAAAGAGTTCAATATGCCCTACCCCGAGACTCCAGTATCCCTTAATTAAGGACTATACCTTAAATTACAGTAGGATCCCGATATGATTAAGGTTTATTCCTTAATTAAGGGATATCGGAGCCTGTGGGTAACTTATAGGCAGCAGATCAAGCCCTAAACCCTAGATCCCAAACCCTAAACTTCGCCTTAAACCTTGAGCCCTGACTCCCATTTAAGGGTCCTTCCGTGCTTTGCGAGTTCTTGGTTTGACTATGGCTTGTGGGTTTCGGGGTCCCCAAAGACTAAACCAGTCAGAGTTCATGGTACAGATTCACCTTCTACTTAAAGGATCATGGGACTTAGTAAGTGGGGTTACTGAGTCCCATGATCCTCTAAGTAGGGGGAAGCAGGGCACATGATGCATGGGCAAAGGCCCTGGGTCCTGGCCACAAAAGCCAATCAAAACCCCTAAACTCCAAAAAAAAAGCCTTAAGCCCTCAACCCTACTTGGAGGGTCGGGGGACTTAGTAAGTAGGTAGCAAGTAGACTTATAAGTACCCTAGACGGGACCCTACTTGGGGTTATGGTACTTATAAGTCCCTAAAATAACCAGTTACTAAGTGCCCCGACCCTCCAAGTAAACTTCTTCTTCTTCACTTCACTGCAAATCGGTCAGAAGTCCGGCGCAGAACTAACGTGCAAAGCCCAAAAGTGACAGTCGCTGTGACCGCACAGGCAAGAAAAACGAGGCGAGAGGCTCCTCAGGAGCGACCCAGCGACTCGGAACGGAAAATCAATGAGGCACGGACAGGGAGCACGGCAGGAGACGGCCCGCCAGGGACAGGAGCGCACAAAGCAGCCAGAGCGGGCTGCCACACACGGGGGCAGCAAGGGTGGTGTGCGACAAAGACCGTGCGGCCAGAAAGGCAAAGCCGGGAGAAGACGGCAGAAGGCAACAGTGCCCGCAACACAGCAGTGCCGGTAGCACTCGGGAGGCCCCACAGCCAGAGGGCTCCACCGAGGCGAACACGGGCGCAGATGTGGCGGAAGGAAACCGTGGCAGCAAGAAGGCAGAGGAGGGGCATAGGGGGGTCACGAGCACAAGGAGTGTGATGCGATGCGGCGCCTCGCAGTGCACGCAAAGGCCCCTTAGCAGCCTCATCCCACGGGTGCAGAGAGGAAGCAGCCTTCCAACAGTTCCAATAACGGTGCCAAGTCCTTGGAAGCTGCCAGACAATATGTCCGACGTCCTTGGCCGACCACAGCATGGAAGGCACAGCCCAGTTGGTTGGCGTTTCATCATAGTCATGCACACACCTCCACCGAAGCGACTGGGGCGCAGCAGGGCCCAAGGCAGAAGAGATGACTTCGGAAGGCTGAGAGATGGGGGGAACAGGAAACTGTTCGACGTGTGGAGCTTGCATTCGGTGGTCGGCCAGTTGCCCAAGAGGCTCGGGAAGAGGGGGCCAGTCATAGACGTGTGCTGCTCCTACCACTTGGCGAAGCTCTGTGGCGAGTTCTGCAACAGAGCAGGCTCTGCCGGCTTCAGCAGCACGACGTTGTGCTGGCGTGGCGTTCAGCGGCCCAGGCAGTCGGATGGCCGGAACACCACGGTGTCCGCGAGGTCCGCCACGGCGGGAGCCGGTGCCATACTCATAGACCTCACCGACCGTGACTCTCAGAAAATGAACACAAGACGGGTTGGTACGGAGATGATATTTGAGACGGTCGGTCGAATGCATTTCATGGTGACACCAAAGGCAAGCCGTGCCGTGCGTATAACGGGTGAGCCAGTTAACAACTGAGTGCTTCCGGTGAACATGTGCGGCAAGCGCCTGGGCACTGGGGAGTGCGGCGCGGCACAGAGGGCAAATAGCCTGAACCGAAGGACCCAGGACTTTCCGCCTGCGTGGGCCGTCGAGGTCATGCCAGAGATCGTGGAAGGCACTATGTAGGGTACCCCAACGGCTAAGAAAACGGCAAGCATTCAGCAACCCGCGTTGATTATCACGCACAAAGGCAAGAGAAGTGGTGACAAACCTGCCACAGCGGCCTGGAACACCACGAGCTACGGCCCGGCATGCATCAGCGAGTAGTTCACACCAAGGAACCGCGTGATTCCATGCAGTATCGAACAAGCGCCAGACAGGTTGAGGGGCTTTATGCACAAGCTGGACCGTAAGCCTCGCCCTGGCAATAAGCACGGCCTGTGCCGGGGAGGAGAGGCCTAGCAGGCAGAGAAGAGAGGCGCGGTGCAGGACATGGCCGAATCGCCAAGAGCCCACCACAGTGCGAGCGAGGCGTTCGAAGAGGCCTTCCAGTGGTGCAGTAGCGCGTTCTGAAACCGCGATGCATGTCGCAAGCGTAGCATACGCGGCCGGCAGAATGCGGCCGGCGACCCACGCTTGTTTGAGTGCCCAGGGCACGGACTCACTGCTGAGGAGGTTGCGGCCATGCATCCATGCCGTCCGGCCCCGTTGGGCGCTCAGCTCGGTGTCGCGTCGACCCGTATCCCTAACTTGCTGAACAACTCCTAAGTACCTATATTCAGGGGTTACGCGAAGTTCCGCTCCATTGGGAAGCTGCCAAGGCCCCCCATGCCCGAAAAGCTCCCCTCGCACAGCCTTCGCGTCGGGGCCCCGAACGTCAAGAAGAGCCTCAGTCTTGCCTAAACCCAAGTTAACCTTAAACCTAAGTGCATGAAGGGTGTCCAAGACAATTTCAGCTACCCGCGGGAAGGCTTGCTGAAGCTCACGTGGCGAGGTATAATCAGTAATGATGGCAAGGTCATCTGCCCAGCCAATAGAGACAGGCGTTGCTTCCGCACCAGACGCAATGCTTGCTGAGTGGCAAGCAAGCCCCTCTGCACAGCACGTGTCGTCAATGTGACGGAGAGCGATAGCGAAGAGGGCTCCGAAGAGAACATCGGCTAGCCCGTCACCGGGTCGCGACCCTCTCGTGGCTAGGACGTATCTATCAGAGCCAACAAGTTGCCAATGGGCACATGCGACGCAGTCTTGCAACAAGGCTATTTCGTCTGCCGGAACCCCAAGAAGGTGGAGTGCGCCGTCACAACGGAGGCAAGTGACAAGGCTGGCTAGGTGCCATAACCGACCCTCATCTGGCTGGAGTCCGAGTTCACCACCTTGAAAGATGAGGTCGCGACTGGCTTCATAGTACGCAGCGCGGATATCGACATAAAGAATGGCACAACTTCTGTGAGCTTCGACACTGAGAGCCCACGCACTCCGGAAGGCAGCCACCGCAAAACTGACCGGCACACCAGGTCGCCCTCCAAGTTGTAGCCCCCTATACTGAGCTAAAATGGAGTGTCCTACTCCCCGTCTCAGGAACCCATGGTACACTTTAGCCATCCCATTCATCAAGGCTATGGACCTGTAATTTTGAGGCAGTGCCGCTGGTCCTTTCTTGTAAAGCGCGCAAATCAGCGCCAGCTTAAAATGCGGGGGCTCACGGCCGGTTAGGGCGGTTTGGGTGCAGATCAGCCAGAACCACTGTCCGGCTTGGACAGGGTAGTGGCGCCAGAGTTCACTGAGCACAAGGTCTGGACCGGGTGCCTTGGATCCTTGTTGGCGTCTGCAGGCAGATTCCATTTGCAAGAGGGTAGGCACTGCCTCCGGGCAGGGATTTGTTGGGGAGGCATCCCAAGCAAGCTGCGTCAGGCGGAGTTGCTGAGCAGTGACGAAACGACCCCCCTCTTGCTCCCGGAATTGTTCTTCGAGGGCCGCGTCGATATTATAGCCTCCTGCGGCGTGGACTGCTCTGCGTTCGGCGGCCCTGCGAGACGCCCACCGGAGTTTAACGATAGATTCCATGGCACAGCCATGGCGGTGCCAAAGGTCAGTAGCCTGGTGTGTCAGTTGCAGAAAATGCCATGCCTTATCGCGTTTGGCAGAATTGTGGGCTCTGCGACTAAGATGGTACTCCTGAGACAGCATGGCCGCTTCTAATAGGCGGTGTTGATGCCACTGTAGGTGGGCATGACGGTCAGGGAAACCTTTGTGCTTCCATCCGTGAAAACACAGAGACAGTAGAAGCCTCGCCCCCTCAGACTTGACGTGTCGCACCTGCGCGCGCCAATCTCGCAGTCTGTTCAGGTGACCTAGGGTGGTCGCCTGAATATAAGGTTGCTTCGGGGTGAGGGGTGGTCGAGACGGGAGGGGCTTTGGCCATGCACCATACTCGTCAAGCAGTGACTGGACAAGCTCCCCCGTGCAACTCCAGCCGTCAAGGCGGACGCCCTTCCAGATGGCTTGTCCTCCCTGTATAACCTCCGAAGGTAGACAGCGACGCGGGGCATCTCGCCGTCCCTGGGGGACTGCAGCGTGAAGAGTTGCCTGCGCCCAGAGGGCCATGTGGTCCCGCTGGACGTTGACAATATCAAAGGCAAGGGCTTGGCTAGTACGAGCGATTTCCCAAGGCCCTGCTTGGAACAACAGGTGATCAAGACGCTTGCGCTTAGAGCTAGTGTGTTGCCAGCTCCATCCTTCCCCTAATTGGATATCGGGGAAGGTAGCCGGTGCGACGAGGCCAAGCCGGAGACACATTTCCAGCAGACAGTCGTCATTACGGGCCGGCTCCGCTTGCGAGACCAATGTGCCAATGAGGTGGTCGTCCTCATCAGCCGAACAGAAGTCACCGTTGGCATCAAGACCAATCAGCAGCGCGCGATATCTAGGGGCCTCCTGCAGTGTTTGGGTCAACAGAGCCCAAAATTCGGTAGCCTCTCGGTCTGGTCTGTCGGCATGAGGAGCGTGGGCAGAACAGATTGTCACAGGCAAGAGCGAAGACAGACAGGTGATCACTAAGATCCGGGGCGTGCTAAGAAGAATGCGCCAGTCACTCAATTGCAGCGCAGGGGTGACGAGACGGGGGTTGACCCAAATTTCACAGCCATACTGGCCTTTTTCAGCGCCGGAGCGCCATGT